CCCCCCCCGAAATTTTATTGCAATTCGCATTATTTTATGATTATATTTCTGTCCGTTTATAATAGTCGCCATGTTGTGAACAACCCCCCGGGAACAAAAAAATAATATCAAAACAGCTAGTTTTGGCCCGTCCGTGGATGACAAAATGACATAAATCGAGATTGTAGCAGCTATAAACTCGGCGGTCACGTGGTACGCACACCACGTGTAGAGATTAGTGTGCTGCCTCGCTAACGCTCGGCAGCAATAATATACATAAAAATATTATTCGACTGTGATTGGTTGATTTCAGTGCAGTTAATCCCAAACAGCAGTGCAATTTTCTGTAATCAAAGTGCAATTTTCTGTAATCACAGTGAAATTTTTTGTAGTCACAGTGCAATTTTCTGTAATCAGAGTGCAAAAAGCTGTAACAAACTGATCTGATTGGTGGACAAACATTGTGATGATAAAATTAACCAATCAGTTTAAAGCAGTTTAGTTTAAAGAAGTAAAGGTCACAGATTGCTTCAAAACAAAACAAGCATGCCGCTGCGCTTCATTGAGTAAAAGTTGACTTCGGTTGGAAAATATGGCTTTTAACTTTATTTTTAAATGGAAAATCCTATACCTTAGACAAGACTAACAAAACTTACATAGTTGAGTGGAATTTTGAGGCTGTTAGCGTTGTATAATGTGATGTAACAAAGCCAGGAAAACTATATATGCCAGTGCATGGAATGTTTGCTGCAAACGCGTATATATAAGTTAAAACTACAATTGTCTCGAACATTTTTATGTAAATTATTAATAAGTAATAGCATGGTTTCTCTTGATATTTGGATTTTGCATGCACTCGTGAGTTTTTCAAAGACCTCAGTCCTCAAATAGCACTCGTCCTTCGGACTCGTGCTATTGTGAGGTCTTTGAAAAACTCACTCGTGCATTTTATATCCAAATTGCACTCGAAACCATGCTATTTTACCTATACTAATATATAATTTCGTTCTCTGTGACTGTGCACGTGTAGTTCTTTGATATCTAAACGATACGTACGATAGAATTTAAATAATAATAATGTTCCATGCTAAATTATTTTTTTGTGTTTAAATTATAGTTCTTTGTTTATTGTTTAGCATTTGATCTAAATAATCTGAAACGCATAAAACGTGATAAACCCTACAAGTCCACCGTGGAATATTTGGATATTAATTACCGGTTACTTCGCGAAGAGTGTTTCAGGAATTTATGTACTGGCATTCAGGATTTTCGCGAGGGTAATAGCTATGATGCTCAAAAAATGAAAATGTACAGGTAATTAAAGACATTCAATCAGGACGTTATATACTGTACTTATTTAACAAAGTTTATGATTTTTATGTTGTTTGCAAAAATAATCCAGAAACAAATATAATTCTATATGTCAAAAATTTAGCCTGAAATTTTGTTGTGAGAAACAAGTAACTTATTAAATTGAATAGCAGAATAATTGATGGAACAAAACTAATTACTGTGCTGAATTCCCAATAGAAACAAAACTCAAGTTCGTGTATCTGTTGGTTTTTGCTACCGAAGGCAGCACACTATTCTTAACATGAAGTATTGCGTTTACGTGTGTCCAGTCTCTTTGGCCGAGTTATGTATAGCCGAACGAGAACTCGATTTTGTTGACGGATGTACGGATTTTCAGATTTATGACGTTTTTTGACGTCACAGAAATTTTAAAAAATAACATACTCCAGATAGCGATTTGACTTCCCGAAACCCGGGTTGAGACTCACGAACACCACCATGAACGATTACAATTTGCAAACATGTGCCTCGTTGCCTGTGCATGTTGTAAATTTATGTCTGCCTGTTTATCGACATAATTTTCTTGCGTCTGGCTGTTTATCGAAAATATTTTTCAAGGTAAGATGAAAGTTTGATCACAAATAACAATGTGTTTTGGTTGAATTATTTTACCCATTGAAACGAATGAATCAGCTGTATTTTTATTAAATTTTAATTTTACTGGTGCCATACTACCATACAAGTGGAGCAAAAATTTTCTTGAGATTGATAGGACATCGCACTTCAAGGTATAAATAATCACAGTGATAGTTTATTATAATATTATTGTTATGGGAATATCAATTGAGCAGTATCGTGCCCGCATTGGAACACATTGTATACGAATGAAAAATACCTGACTTGTAGAAAGATATTCCTATAGCAACCCAGTGTGGATTGTTGTCTACACATATTAACCTACCAGCAGTTTAATACATAAAATAACATGTCAACCGACTTTTGTCAAAAGATATGACGGTCTGTACAAATATATCTCTGAGATGTATGTCTATTGACTGTTACCTGTTAGCATAATATATTCACCTGGCTGTGTCAGCTACAGTTCAGGGTATAGGTATACTATATTTTTTATAATGCTCACAATTTCTTGTATTATATAGTTTTGCAGTTCGAACTTAGTACAATCTTAATCATTACAAATGAATGATGTCATCAGAAGCTGGCATATGAAACAGCACTGTCAAAAACAGATTTTGTCTCCCCATACATCAGGCATCGCTGCATCAGCAGATTGTTCAGTTGTTTGCAATTTAGGGGTCAGGGTCGTAGCAACAATAATTTGTAAACTAGCAATAATCACCCTAGACTAATCAGCCCCCCAATACAAAATTGCTTCCTATGTAGTGGGTAGCTTTGAAGGTAACCTGAGATCAGGCTCTATTTTACAAGTATACCCTGACACAAACCTTAATCCGATAGTTTTCCACCCATATGCAGCAAACTTTATATTTATTATCCAACCTCGCTTCACCACTGATTGTATTAGAATTAGAATATTTAGCTGACCTTTGACCTTGTGCAACGTATCTGGTATTCAAATTAAACTTTTCCTACTTTCTGAACATGCGTCTTAGAGGCTGTTTACATGATGGAAAGTGGGATGATTTTTGATGTATTGAAATAAGTCACCAGGTTAAACAAAAGTTCAAATGCCTGTTACAGAACTTAAATATTGTAGAGAAGATCTTGTAGTTCAAGAAGATTATTATTGCTGCTTGAACAACTTTTCGTTTACAGTTAACTATATAAATCTATCTCTAGAAAATAATGAAGTTTTTCGCTGAATTGTGCACGGTGACTTATTTCAATACATCGAAATCATTCCGCCTTATATCTCGTCCTGGCAAAGCGGGATCATAAAAACAGTCCCTTATTCAGCAAATTGCGCATGCTGCCTTTGATCCCTTGGGGGTGAGGCAGCACTTTCCTTGCGATAGTAACTTCTAGCTATAAAAATATTGTTGCATCTACAGTATGTTGTGGATGGGCAAATAACAATTTTGTGTTGGTATAGGATATTTAACTGGAAAGCCAATCTTATTCCCAGGCTGTTTCTCATACAGAAAAAATCACATCAGGACCTTAAACCAACCTTACGTTTTTTCTTACATGCAGCAAAAAGGTTATTCTATAATCAAGTTTTGACCAAACTATTTGAATGCAAGACTTACCAGCATAATTATGTTTTTGAATGGTTCGAGTATATTATTCACCAGCTAGAATCTTAGCCATTAGGAAAATTAGCAAGACTGATCGATAACTTTTAAATTGCATAGATAGTATTTATTATATTCAACAGAATATTTATTATACCTCATTGAGATTTATTGTAATTTTTCTCCTCTTTGTGTTTAAAGGATAACTTTGGACACAGTTACCGCTGACCGTAGCACACAAATCTTTCTTGTGTTGAACTGTGAGGACTACTACAAAAAGTAAGAATTGTGACAGGTATTAATTTATAGGTTCTCTTATTTTCAGAATTAATAATAAAATTAAACTTTCCTTCTATATGTATGTGAGTTCTAAGATGATCACTCTTTAATCGGTTGATTTCCCGCATATAGTTGCTTTGTTTGCTTTATTGTAGTTGTTTTTTATAATTTGTTTGGGTATTTATTTTTCAAAACCTTTTTCTACTAATTTTAACTTTCTATGGTATTAGTATTGGTTGGGGTTGCCCTTCGTTTATTTTATGAGATTAAAAATCTTACTTTAATTCGAAAACCAAATCCTGCCGGAAATTTTTAGTTTATCAAAGTACGTACTGCCTAGCCGCGAACTGACAATGAAAGTAAAACAACTCATTTAAAATTACCATCATGATATTATTAATAACGTAACAATAGCGCTCTAGTTTTCGTGGCTTATTGTTTCAATTTATTTGTATGTGTTTCTTCTCAATCCAATTCTATCAATCACTGAATAATGTGCTTGATAAGATTGGATTAGTCTTTAATTATTGTGTTGATGCAGCATTCAGCGTTGTTTTCAGTATAAACATTCTTTAGAAAACACATTTTATTCATTTTCAGTTACTCTCCTGAACTTAATTATAAGGGAGGTCAGCAATCATAGCTTTCTCTTCGCTTTCCCAATAGCCGGTTCCCCTTATTACTTACGTATTCTGAATACAACTACCATGATACTTTGGGGGTATTTTCTTCATTATGGAATAACACGTCCGAAAAACATGCTGGTAGTTGTATTTAGAATGCGTAATAAGGGGAACCGGCTATTACGAACTCCACAGTATTATACTTTTAAATACGAAATTTTGTTCAATTTGTCGACGGTAGAACACAACCCCAGGTACCTGCCAAAATCGAGGCTCGGAAGTCGCTGATTACAACCCGTCGAGGATTACAACCCTCACCCGCAGCTTTCGGCCTGTATTATATCATTTTACTATTTTATATTATTTTCAGCTCTGAAGAAGAGGAAAGTACATCTCATGAAATATTTTATGGTAGCTTGATGTGTATTTCACTGAATAAAGTGTTTGACAGCTTGATATGGGCTACCGTTGTAAAGTGTGAACTGCAGAGGAATCGAAATATGTAAGTACAAATTACTATATTGGTAAAGAATTGAACCATAAGTTGTTGTCCAGATTAGTTAGTCAAAAATTGTATTTAAAGACTTGAATATATAGCCTACATAAACAGTGCAACGTATGCACGTTTAGGATACTGTAGCTCAGCTTGAATTGCAAACCATGCAGCTAATTGCTGGAAATATACTAGTGTATATCTATGTTTGTTCTTTTTTCTACCTGTATATTACAGTGCCTTTTTAAACTATATATCTGGGGGGGGGGGAATTGCCCCCCCCCAGGGAAA